TTTTTTCTTAAAAACAGAAAACTGCAAACATTTTAAAGGAGAAAACAGACTGCCGCGCCACTGGCCAGCTACTCTGCAGCCACTCGCAGGGGTGAGAGGTGAACTTTCCATGTCCGCTGCAGAGATGGCCGGGCTCATGTGTCCCACAGCACAATGCCGACCACCCCAGAAAGAAGCAACTCCTTATATTTACCAAGACGTGGAAGTACATTCTGTTCCAAGTGGAGGCAGGGCAATGGCATGAGTGCAGAAGGACTTCAAATTTCACAATATTCTGGGCCTGACTCCCACCTGCCATGTGTCACCTGCCATTCACTCATTTTACAACCTTGGTTGTCACTAACTTCTCTGGAGCTTACTTTTCTCACCTGTAAAGTGAGGACTCTTGTCATCTCACAGGCTTGTCTTGAAAATTAAATAACCTGGTGCCTCAAACAGTACCCAGCAGACAGGAAGCTGCTTATCTGAATGACAGATACGATTATATCAAGATTATAAAACAAGAGAGCTGCAAAATCACTGAAAATTAGTCTCATTTGGAAAGGACAGAATTATACTTTTGTTTATGCAAAGGTAGTGTACGGTTCAGTTGATGTTATTTTATACACTCAAAATCAGTTTCTGGAACCTTTCCTTCGGTACTTATTGTACCCCTTCTCTAAGCCAGCACCTTCCTGGCCCACGCGGAACAGCAGCGAGGGAGGCAGACACAGAGCCTCGCCCTGTGAGGTTTCCCTCTGGAGGTCTTCAACCAGGAGAGGGGCTCGGAGGTGGTAGGGTGCTTGATGAATCTGAAAACTTAGAAACAACCATTTTTTGGTTGAGTGGCAGCTGGATATGGAAGCAAGGTTGGTTTTAAGATCCAGGAAGTGCCACATGGAAGGATGAATTTGCCACTAACGGACGTGGAGAAACTGAGGACCTGGTGCGGGAAGGTCAGGAGCTCGGTCTTGTCTGTGGCTGGTCGGAGATGTCATCAGTGATGTCACACCCACAACTGGATGTACAACTTGGAGAGGCCGGGGAAGAGACATAAACTGAAGAGAAGACACACTTGATTCACCTAGGGAAGTATCTGGACTTAGAGTTTCATTCTCTTTAATTCTGTCCACATTAGAAAGAGATAATGATGCCGATGAACTATATTTCTCCATATACCTCGACTTCCCAGATCCTTTCTTATATAAGAAATTCTGCCTGATTAAAGGTCTACAGTTAATAAAAGATATCTGCATTCCAGAAGTTCACCATTTTAAAACAGGCAGTTCATATTGGATAAGTATCAAGGCAGAAGCATAATAAAAATGTTTGAAAATAGTAAGGTACATGAAAGCATGCTGAGGCCATTTATCCCCAGCTGCATTACGCTGGAGGGCAGCGACAAGGGCAGGGGGTCCCTCCACCCGCCCTGTGTCAGCCTCAGCACAGGCGGGTGCGCCAACAATGACGGCAGGGGGCCGAACTAGCCAAGGCCCTGACGGGAACAGGGGACTGCTCCCGATGCAGCAGGAACAGCATGCTGTTCCTGTGAGCAGAATTAGATATCGCTATTTTAAAACTGTCTTTTGAAAGTTACTAATTTTGTGAAACCTGATTTCAGACAAGTCACAAGCACCAGAATAAAAAGATAGTCTCTGCTATCATTTGTAAAGCACAATCTAGTTAAAAATATTTCAGACCATATTCTTTAATATAATTGGGGACATCAAATAATAAACTGTATCTCCCAACATAGACAAAAATTCAAAAATAAATTATAACTGTGGACTAAAACATAACATTAAAGAAAAGTCTTTGTGTGAGCACCCAAATAATTCCTCCTCTGTAGCCAGTGACACAAAAGCATTTTTAGCTTTCAGGTTTCGAAAAAACCCTGTTGGAACAACAACTCCCTCCCTTCCCCGCCTCTCCTTTCTTAATTCTCCCACAGCTCAAAAAATGAGATGGAGAACCTGGTATTTATCTTCCGGCACCATCAGCAGTTTCCCCCCTCAGGTTTCTATGTTGCTCTTTATTTGCTGTTTGCAAGTTAGCTTGTTGGAGCTTTAGCACTAATATTCAGAAGCAGTAAAGCGAGCCTCTTGTAAGTGGTGTCTCTCCATCAAACCTCACCGGGGTTCATTTGAAGACAACGACCGAAGGGAATTAAAACACTGAAGGCTACGGACAAAAGGTATGGAAAAGGGAAGCTTTTAAAAGCTTAGCGGCCTAAATATAGCTCTTTAAGTACCACTTAGTTTGAATTTTAAGTTGCAAATCTGTTCTTAAATATTACTTTTGATATAAGTAAATCTTGTTAAAACTCATTTTACTCTTTAGTCACATCTACTCCAGACATTCTTTTGGCGGATGGTTCAAATAGAACATCCCCCGGTTCCGCTCTGTACGCACTGTGCTTGGAACCAGGAGAGTTAGCTCCGTCCTTGGAGCCTTTGCTTACTGTCACAGTATTTCTCCTCCACCACCACCATGGAAACAAAGTATGCCTTTCTTCTCCGCCCGACAGAAATCTGAGAGAACAGGCCACAGACTGCATCGTGCTTGTGGCCGGAAAGGAAAAAAACACACGGTTTCATGGTGCTCTAGCAAAGATGCCAGTGGACTGTTACAAAAGCAGCAGAACAGCGACCTGCTTTTCGGAGAACACATCCTGTTTGCATACATTCTGTAGGCAGAAGCAGCATTCAAAGTCCAGTACTCACCAGTAGCGCGCGCTGTGCTCACTGCACGCGCGTCATATGTTTATGCGGATTCTGCTGTCTGTAATTTATCACTGCCAGTGCTTGCTAACGAAGACGAACAAGCTGTCTGCGAGTCTGAAGGACACTGAGATTCATAAATGTACTGGCTAATGAGAAAAAAAGGGCTATAATTGGGGAGCTGAGCATAGACTGATCAACACACACAGGTTGCTCAACCAAAGTAAAAAGACAGAAAAGAGACGCTCAGAGAATGTCAGCAGCAGTCTTGCTCTTCAGAGTCCCAGCTGAACATGGCCCGGACAAGGCAGTAATTTCGTGAGCTGGCTGGCGCTCCAAGCCCAAACCTGAAAACAGCTATTATAAACTAAACATGGGCTTCAGTGTTGTCTTAGGAACTTTTACTTGTGTCCTATTTTGGTCTCAGTATTAAAGAAAGAAACTGGATGATCGCAGGCAAGCCTAGGCACTCTGATCCCTACAGTAAGTCTGATTCTTAAGAATTCAAAATCTAGGGGAAATCCTCTCCTAAACTGTACATTTCACATTTTAACATTATGAACAGAGAAAAGGATTCAGCTAGCTCTGGATTTAACTCCTTAGAGAATCAATGTTACAACGACAGAGAAGTCCAGACTTGGTCTCCAAAGCTAAGCCATTTGCCCAACTGATGCCTCTGGAGTCTTTTTTTGTTTGCTTTTTTAGGTTTGGTGGGAGAGGGAGTGAAGGTGATGTTTAAAGGTGCGCGTGCCTTCAGATGTAGCAGTTTTCCCAGCTTCCCACAGGAAGCTCCGGGGTGGATTTCACAGAGGTACTGGGGTAGTGGGAAAAACGTCCAGGCTGCGGGGAGGTGGGAAGAGGGGAAGATCTGGATATTGACCACCTGCGGCTGAGACCTGGGTGGCACTGGGTGATTTACCTCCTAAATAGGCTAATCTGAAAAAATGATGATGTACAAGATTATATCTACAGTTTCTTTCAGCTCTAAGATTCTATGCCAGTGAATACAATCAGCTTAAGGAAGGACGAGAGAAAAGAAACTGCCATGATATAAAATAAATATCATGACATTTACCTGTCAGATAGAAACAAAAATAAAAATACTAATAACACTGACAATTATAATTTATTGTGTACTTGCCATGGGGGTAGATATTGCTCTAAGTCCTTAAAATGCACTGACATGTTTAACTCCATGACATAGGTCCTACGTACAATCCTCCCATTTTCCAGAAGAGGAGACTGAGGCTCAGAGAGGTTCTGGAAAGCCAAGATTTGACCCATACATACTGCCTTTTGTCAAACATATATGACTCATGATAGAACACACTGTTCAGAATGTAATTGCTGTATTTCAGAAGCCATTACATTTCTCAAAGAAGGCAGTAGTGCTGCCAGATTGAAACAGCCAAGCCACGAAGTGCTAGCTTTTCCCTTGGAAAGAATGAAGTGCTACATTATTTTTGGTATCCTGTCACAGACCAGTAACGACGTGGTTATTTCTGCTGAGTACTTTCGAGACTCGATGTCCCTACTGGGGAGCGGTTGGAAGAACCGGTTTTGCAGCAGACTGCTGCATGTGGGTCAGGAAAGGATTCTGGTCCCAACTAGCACGGGTCTCACGTTCTCGCAGCAAGCACAGTAGCTTAATTGTGCCGGTAGTAGCGTCACTGGTCCGCTTCTGAGTACCTTGTACCTGAAGTGGAAGAAGTGCCACCCTCGGTAAGGATTTTGCAAATGTTTATTAACTGGAGCTCAGGGATAATCGTGCAGGTGACGGACTTCTTTCCACTACTTTCCTCTCCTCCTTCCACAACTCCCCTGGGTCATGTGGAGGTACTTGGTGGGCGCTTAATAAATACTTGTTTAAAAAGCCATCTTTTGCATACTTAAAACTTTTCTAAAATATCCATTAGTATACATTAAGGGGTTAGTTTAAACTATTCTTTTCTTATTATCTATAGAATATTTTAACTTAAAATAAGTTTTAAAAACCTAAAATGCAATTAAAATTCCTTGCCAGATCTTACAGCTGGAATGTGGTATACCTACCTCTTGGAACCAGGTGCATGCCCACCTGGCAGACTTCAGCACAGCTAAAGTTTTTGTTTTGTTTTTTTTAATATATTGATTTTTTACAGACAGGAGGGGAGAGGGATAGAGAGTTAGAAACATCGATCAGCTGTCTCATGCACGCCCCCTACTGGGGATGTGCCCCCAACCAAGGTACATGCCCTTGACTGGAATCGAACCTGGGACCCTTGAGTCCCTAGGCCGACGCCCTATCCGCTGAGCCAAACCGGTTAGGGCAGCACAGCTGAAGTTTTAAAAAGAACCAAGTGGACAGCTCTTTGCTTCCCGCCATACACCCAGCACAGCCACCGGGTCACCCAGGAGGTGGAGCCTCTGAAGGCCCGGGGAGCCTTTCCCAAGCAGCCGCCTCCACGTCCACTGCGGGGCCCGGGCACTCGGCTCCACTGCACACAGAGCCTTTCTCTTCGCTCTTTCTCTCCCTCAACCTCGATTTGCCTTCTTTCCCCAGCCTTTGCACTTGCTCCTCCGCTGCACAGAATCTTCAATTTGACCGAGAGCCATCATAATTAAGCACCAGGATTTTCTAGGTGGACAGCTGACGCTAACGTCATGGCCTCAATGTGTCTCCAGCTCCTTGCTTTCGTCCTGGCCTTCTGTGGGGTCTCTGGAGTGCTGGCTGCCACCCTGCTGCCCAACTGGATGGTGACGATGGACACGGGCTCCAACGTCATCATGGCCATCGTCCAGCTCCAAGGGCTGTGGATGGACTGCACGTGCTACAGCACCGGCATGTTCAGCTGCACCCTCAAGTTCTCCGTTCTGATGCTCCCCACCCACGTGCAGGCTGCGCGCGCCACCATGATCCTGGCCTGCGTCCTGGCTGTTTCGGGGATCTGCACTTCCACGGCGGGGATGCAATGCATTCGCTTAGGAGGGGACAGAGAAAGCAAGAGCCACGCTTCCCTTGCTGGAGGCCTCTGCCTCATGTCTGCGGGGATCTCCGGTTTAATACCCACAGTGTGGTACACAAAGGAGATAGTCGCCAACTTTCTGGATCTGACAGTTCCAGAGAGCAATAAGCACGAGCCTGGAGGAGCCGTCTACATCGGATTCATCGCGGCCTTGCTGCTGTTGATCTCTGGCACGATCTTCTGCCTGAAAAGGGACCCAGAGGCGTGGCTCCCGCCACCCAAGCAGCAGCACACCCCCACTGCCAAGCCGGAGGGCAGCTCAGCTTACAACCTGAAGGACTATGTGTAAAGCAATGTGTAACTCACATGGAATTTTAGATGCCTGCTGGGACTTTTGTCTTTATTTTAGATATTTATATATACATATACATACACACACACACACACACACACACACACACACCAGGATTATGCTTAACTTTCTCCACAAAGATTTTAAATACTTTAAAATTGGCAAGGTTATTTAAAATGCCAACAAACTCTCATGTACAACTATACCTGTTTAAGATTGTTCTTCACCTGTTTTCATGGGTTATCTAAAACTTTATAATTTGAAGAGAGACTGATTATATTAATAAGGTAATTAATTGATAGCTTTTCTTCCTTTTTAAGATAACCTGTTGATACATTTTCTGAATTGGTACTTAACTGGGTTTTATAGAAGAATTAAATTGCCAAGCGTGAGAAGCACCTGGCCCTGGTGTGAATCCAGGGACAGTCTGCGTTTACTGTCTGGGTGGCGACTCACAGGAACTTGCTTCTGTTTCCCAGTGGCACGGCACGGCGGCACATTAGGGACAGAAGAGCTGTCCACCTCTTTCAGACGTCGCCCAACCAGCCACCCCAACTCTCCATCTATTGGGAACTCCCTGTCCCTTTTTTCATTTTAGAAAAGTATCTACATACATCTGTGAGAACCGACAAGGTGACATTCAAAGATGAGGCGGAACTAAAGGAAGAACACTGGGAAAGACCACCACAGCAAAGCAAAACCAGACCAAACTCCACCCTCTGGGGCTTTGGACAGTAAGTAAAGCGAGTGATGACAGTAGTTTGTCTGAACAGGCTCCAGAAGGCCCTTGCCTGCTGCAGCTAGAGGCTTCTCCAGATGAAGTCATCCAGCCACAACTCACCCCATCTCCTCTACTCTCTCACTGGTTAGTATTTGGATGACAAAGGCTATTTTTAAGTTGTTATTTCATTCTCAAGCTTGACCCACATTAACAAAAACATCGTTGTTCTCTCATCATTGAGCTGCTTCAATGAGTTAATGCGATGTGCAAGTAATTTTTAAAGTATAAAGAATGCTTTTAAAAGTATAAGTTAAATTATCTTGAGTATTTCAAATATTTTAACAAGAAAATAAAAACTGAATTTTTGATATGCAAAAAAAAAACATTGCAATGGTTGTTCCTTAATAACTTGTTAATTCAAGCTCAGTCACTGCTCACAAGATAATGGTAAATGGGGAAAAAGAACATTTCTTCGCATATAAATAATTCAGGGATGGGAAGAATACCTTTTATGTGAGTAAAAAATGTTCATTTGTTCATACAGAAGTAGAGACTAAAATATTTTATGCCTATTTTACTCGGTAGATCATCATTCTCTTCTCCAACAATGTCATCAGCTATTAATGGAACAGATCAATGAAAAGGCACTCCTTCATGTATGGATTAGAAAGGTAATCATTGAAATAGAAGTTTAAATGACTTTAAAGTATGCATTCCTTCTGAATGGTCAACATATTTTCTAAACAAATGTTTTAAAAATACTCCTAATAAAAAGAATATTTTAATGCAGATTAATGGGATAGGATTGCTTTGACACCTATATGGTTCTTTCATTTTGCTTAATGGCTTTATATGCAGTCTACATATCCAATAGTCCTATACTAAAAGTTTACTTTATATTCTATATAATAAAGAGCTCATATGCTAACTAGACCAAACAATAGAACGACTGTCTGGATGACCTTCCGGACAACTGTCCGGACAACCTCCTGGATGAAGCTGGGGCTGTGAGGTCCGGCCAAGGCTGTGAGGGGCTGTGAGGGCCGGCCGAGGCTGTGAGGGGCTGCAAGGGCCTGCCGAGGCTTTAAGGGCCGGCCAAAGCTATGAGGGCAGAGCTCCTTGCACGAATTTCGTGCATCGGGCCTCTAGTACTCTATATAAGTGTATAAATACTTCAAAAATAATTTCTATTTATTTTTGGAATATTTTCTTCCTAAATACATACAGGAGTGTTTTGAACTCTCATAAAATAAGCCTTTTCATGCAAGTAATATTACCACACTAAGGTCTCTCCAAAAAGTGGAAAAAACATTCACGGTAAGTAAGGTTGATGCAACTTTAGCTAGTATTCTCTAATAGAAATCACACAAAAATACTGATTTCTTTTTTTGAGGATTGGATGACCATATACCTTACCTTCCATACTGAAATAATTTAAAGTGTAAAAAAGGATAACAATAATAATACCACCATGACCAGGGCAACATGGATAAAAGTGGGCATTTGGTCATTCTAAATAAGGGGAGAGAAACTGGAGTGAAAATTGTGATTTCGATTCACATTGTGGTTTTTATGGTTCTGATTCAGGAGAGGTAAAGGAAAACTTCTGGCACAGTTTGCACATAGATGAGATCCTAGAGATCATTTCCTCTGACACATCTTCAGAAGAGCAATGGATACAATTTAAATCCTAGTTCTGGTATAGTATGGAAATCAACAGAAACTCACTTCCGGTTTGGGAACAAACGCCCGGCCTGGAATTGTGAAGACGTGCTGAACGTGGCAGAGGTACTGGGCCATCACAGACAGGCGACTGCGCTGCTTGCTCCCCGTATTGGCTGCAAGTCTCTGGGAAAGACAAAAACGGAACTTAAGCAAATAACTAACCCAGTCTGATCATAATCAAAACATAAACACTAACAGAAAATGTAACTAACTCAAAGGACCCGTGAACTATGCTCAACCACATAGCACATTAGGAACGTGCACAGGAAAGCTACAATGAGATAAAATTTCATATCCACAAAATGAACAAAATTTAAATGACACAAAAGAGAACCCGGGAGAATTTAGTGCCGGCGAGTATCTGGAGCAACAGGAACTCTCACACTGCCTGTGGGAGGGAAATTGGTAATATGCATATTAAAGCTGAAGTCAAGTCAACCCCCATGATCCTTTAGGTTTACTGTCAGGACTTTATCCTAGAGAACAGTGTATACAGTTACACAGGAGATGTGTGTAAGAATGAATGTTCACTGCAGCATTATAGGTAATAGTAAAAAAAGTGGAAAGACAAAGGGCCATCGCAGGTGACTGTGTAAGTACATTGTGGTAATTTCGACAACAGTAAACTATTAAATAACAGTTACAATGAACAGCAATGATTACCAAGATAGCTCCCAAAATAGAGTAAAAAATAATTAAGTAAAGAAAATATGTATATAAAAACTTCAAAAGATTACTTCTGAGTGTGTGTGTGTGTGTGTGTGTGTGTGTATCTGCAGTGCAAGAAAAAAACATGCACAGGAATGATGAATAGAAATTTTAACAAAGTATAACTCATGAAAGGAAAAGAAAGGAAATAGAAGAAGGCTCTAAACATATCTACATTATTTCTTAGAAAAAAAATAGGAAAAATGGTGATATGTTATGACTGGACAAAGCTGAGTCTTGGGAAAAAAATATTAGCCACAGGTGGCTCAGCTGTTGAAGCGTCGTCCTGTGCACCGAAGGGCTGGGGGTTCGAGTCCCAGTCAGGGCACATACCTAGACTGGATTGATCCCCAGTTGAGGCGTGTTTGGGAGGCAAGTGATCAATGTTTGTCTCTCACATCGATGCTTCTCTCTCTCTCCCTCCTTCCTCTCTCTAAAATTAATTAATAAAAACATGTCTTCGGGTGAGGATTAAAAAAAAATTAGGTATACTTCTCTTTCTAAAATGCATCCTGCTTCTCTGGGCTCTGAGAGCTCACTAGACCAGTGATGGCGAACCTATGACATGCGTACTCATTTTTTTGGTTGATTTTTCTTTGTTAAATGGCATTTAAATACATAAAATAAATATCAAAAATATAAACCTTTGTTTTACTATGGTTGCAAATATCAAAAATTTCTCTATGTGACATGGCACCAGAGTTAAGTTAGGGTTTTTCAAAATGCTGGCACACCGAGCTCAGAAGGTTCGCCATCACTGGCCCAGCCATGCTCCAGCTCTCCTGAGACACGGGTCACGTAAGGGAGTCCTGGGCCAGGGGGCGAGGGCGGGAGCCTCACTGCGGAACAGCCGTGCTCGTAGAGTTGTGTTCACTGCGGGGCTTTCCCTTTCCTGCTTCACTGTCACGTGCCGACTCTAACAGACCCCTTTACTTCGCCGCTTCTAACCTGCTGTGCGCATGAAAACAGCACAATTTGGCTTGTAAGATATTTTGCCTTAAGCAAGAATAAAAAATAGGTTTCAATCTGAGATGCTGAGAAAACTTCCTATGGGCTAAGTTAACTGTAGGCTTTGTAGCATCTGTTTTGTTATTCAGAAGCCACTCCTCATCTCATCCCTTTTTATTTTAAAATTTCTGGCTCTTGTCTGTATTTAGACAGTTGAGATTACTGGGAAGTTGAGTTTATGGCAAGTGATGACATGCTACAGTATATCTGACAAAATAAACTCTTCCTGACTAAAATGTGAAACCAGAAAGTATACATATATTCTCAGCCAATATAAAAAACTATAGAGACAAAAAATGGAAGTACAGATTTAAGTCAAAAAGTAAGCTCAAATGGTCAAAAAAAAAGAGCGAGCTTAATTTTTACCTCTGGTAAAAAATTCATTGAAAATACACTGTGCGAACTGGCACAATTCAAAGCAGTTGTATAAAACTAAAATCTACCATGAACATAATCACCAAATTAGAATATACGTAAGCCAAAAGAAATGCCCAGACTTTAAAAAGTATTATTTCATCCTGGATTTTCCTCCAATTTGTCATTTTACATCTGAAATGTATGTTTCCACAGATGAATTCAGAGATTTAAAAGTCACTTTAACCAAAAAGCAACCAGTGAGGCACAGAGGGGAAGCTATCTGGATATGGAGACACATTTGAGTGCCCTGTGTCCTCTCCTGCCAGGAGAGGGGCTGTCCTGACCCATAACGTGACCCACCCAACCTTTGCAGCCAATGCAGCCGTGGTGTGGAGACGAAACCTTAGGAACAACGTGGCTCAATTTAGAAGAAAGCAGCACACGTACAGGAAAAATTCAAGCCACTGACCAAAGAGCTCGGCAAAGGGCTTCATTAAAAGCTAGCGCAAGAGTTAAATGGTCAATCAACTGCTGGAACACGATTTGGTATTTCTGTGGTGTATATATTACAGGTAAAGCTATGAAAATCCAAACTCCATTAGAAGACAGATGATTGCAACAGCAAAAGGCCAGGAAATCAAACCAGCTAATTTTTCACTAAAAGGAAATACCTAACCTTTGAGCTTTTAAAAGCATTCTGAGTCTAAGAAAAAAAAAAGGGTCAAAGAATTCACAAGGACAGTATTATTTTTTTCCCTTATTCATCTAAAAAAATTTTAAGTACAAGGAGAAAAAATTGGCTTATACTTGAGAAGTGAAACTACCACACATCGGGGACAGAGAGAACGACGTAACTAATGAAGAGGTGACTCCCTCCTGCTGCGGATGTGGCCATTAACCAGCCAGGGTCCCCTGGAAATGGGAGGAGATGAAGAGGCGGATGCTGGACCCGGAAGGAAAGGATCAGAGGTCCAGCCACGTGGAAAAGTTGAACATCATGACTTCAGCAGGAAACAGGTGACCGGTGTTCAAGTTCAGCTTTCCCTGTAATGGGCTCATGACCTTTCGGAAAACATTAAATTGCTTGGAGCTTTGGTTTCATCATCTATAAAACGAGGTTAGGTGAGATTTGTTAAGGTATCATTTATTGCTACAGAGTCTGATTCTATTTTACGAGCTGTAGCTTTATAGTGTCTAAATGTCCCTTAATGTGTGTGGGCTGAATTCATACATTCAGACCTTGCAGTCTTAAAGAGAAAGAAGAGGACATGCTCATTTGTTTTGTAACTCACCAAGCCAAGGCAAGCAAATGTTTAAAAGTGCTTTCTGGGGTAAAATACAAATTTTCAAAATACAAATTTGTCAAGAGCAAAGAGAGGGCATATAAGAAAATGATGCTATTATATTCTCCCACTGAAACTCTGACTTGCAGAATGTCAAAATCAGTCAGAGGACCAGCGTTGCCTGTACTTCTAAAGCATTTCTTAAATTACAGACTCACTATAAAGGCTTTTCAATATTCATACTAAAATTTAACCAAAATCAACTTTCTTTGTTAAAAAAAATAATTGCATATGAAGTTGGAGCAGCACTATTACTAATAACCACAACTGACACTGAGTCACTGAAAACATCACTCCACCTCTTATGCCTCTGTTCCTTTGCTCTTTCTCCCCAAAGAATTAAAGTACATGGTATTTTGCATCTCAACTGTGTTATTCAAGAGCAAGCAGAAATACCATAATAATCATGTCAGCTGAGAAAAAATATCCAAGGACAAATCCAAAGGTTGAGAAAACCAACACAGAAAACTATTAGCATGGCCTCAATTCAAACCAACCAACAGAAGAGACTTAACAGCTTTAAGAGCAGGAAGTGATGAAGACCTTAGGAAGTGGGGACGTCACCTTGGAGCTCCTAACAAACACACAAAGGTCTTATGTACATCTTTGTGATGGATTTTATGGCCAAATGCTCTAAGGCAAAGTCTCTCAGTCTCGGCCATTCTCGGGCTGCAGCATGGGGAGGAGGAACACACAGAGCCCAGAGATCTCCATGACAGGAGCAGACAGAGGCTGGAGATCCGGGAACACACACAGGGTGGAGACTAGGAGAGAGAGAGGAAGGAAGTGAGGGAGAGCGCCTGAGATAATGCTCTTCAAGTCTTAGGCTGAGCACAGATCTGTGAATGCTTGAGGGTAACTAACTCCTCAAGGTGGAAGTCTGGAGAAAATACCATCGGAAAGCAGGACTAAAGGAATTCACAAAGCACTGGAAATAGTTTGCATCCCCAACAGCTGAAGAGGAGAGGCCTTGAATCCGCAGGGCACTGGGCAGATTTCTCAGAAAGGTCCTGACTTAGTTAGCCTCAGATTAATGGCTGCTGTGTGGTGAATTTGAAGGCACAGCAATTGGAATTAATTTTTTACATATGGCAAATTACTAATATTTTTCCTAAGAGTTAACCAAATACACATGCATTTGCTAAATTATATCATTCTCTGCTGATGTATAATCTGATTGTTATCCTATACTAAGCTGCCTGATTCTGGGCCCTCTAACCTCGCCTTGGTCTGTCTCATGCTGGTGCTTTGATTATTATGATTATCAGAGTCTCACAGACATTGTGACACTCCATAGGCAAGTCTCTCAGCACTCTTCTTTTCCAAAATGCCTTACCCATTCTTACAGGTCAATTTCTCCACGTGATCCCTGGAACTTAACTACGTTTTGAGATGTTATATAAACAACAATATATTTCTAAATATTTTTTACTTCTCTTTCCAATAATGATATATTTTATTTGCTTCAATCTCTACTGTATTTAGTGTCTTGTTTATTCATCACTAATTCAATCCTAAAGTCTCCCCAATGTTCATTATATGCAAACATGATAGATACTTTATGAAATTTCTGATCTGCTGTGATGTGGACTGAAGATTCCCTCCTCTCTAGTAGTGGACCTTCCGTCCCGAGATTTCACACCACCTTTCTTCTGTGGCTCCAATCAGACCAGTGCTTACACAGGCTTCTGTCATTATGCCACAGGTTAAAGGTCAGTGAGGGCGACTTTTCAGTAAACGGTGCGAGGTTCACTGGGCTAATAGGATAACAGAACTAAAATTACTTTCTACTTCAACCATCCACAACAATCAACCCCAAAGCTTCTAGAAGGTAACATAGACAAATATCTTCATGACTTCAGGCTATAAAATGATTTCTTCAACAAGACACAAACAGCACTAACCATAAATTTAAAGTTATGAATGTCAGTTCTTCAAGACACTGTAAAAAGAAAATAACATGCCACAGCGAAGAAGATCTGCAACACATTTAACTAATAAAGGACTAGTAAGGGGAATATGTTAGAACTCCTCCAAATCAATGAGAAAAAGACAAGCAACCCGACAGGAAACTCAGTAAAAGGCATGTACTTCACAAAAAGAGCTTACCCAGAAGGCCAATAAACATGTAAAAATCATTAAAAACCAGCAAAGACAGAATAAACCACAATGACACACCATTCCCCCAGATAACCAAAGAAGTTCAAATTAGGCAAAAGCATGTACTGGCAAGGATATAGATCAAATGAACCAGTGGGAATATAAACAGGCTCAGTGACTTTTGAGAACAATTTAGCATTATCTAGCAAGCGTGAGAATTTGCAGACCTTCCAATCCAGCATTTCTATGTGCTATGTGCTCTGCCTGACATATATATATAGGGATGCTCATGACAGTTTTGCTTGTAATAACAAAATACTGAAACTATACAGGGTCTCCAAACAGGAGAATGGACAGGTAAATTACGACACAGTCGTAGTAGTATATATAATACCAGAAGCCCGTTGCACGAAGATTCGTGCAATAGGCCTTCCTTCCCCTGGCTGCCAGCACCGGGTTTCCTCCGGCACCCGGGACCCAGGTCTTTGGTCCGGCCACAGCAGAGAAGCCAAGCCTCTTCAGTCTTCAGTCTGGCTGGAGCCTTCCGTCTTTGATCCATGCTTGCATATGCAAATTAACCACCATCTTTGTTGGGTTAATTTGCATACTCATCTGATTGGCTGGTGGGCGTAGCAGAGTGACACCAATTTGCATGTTTCTCTTTTATTAGTGTAGATACTATATAACAGTAATATGAATGAATCAGGGTAAAGAGGATACATGGGATAAACTTGCAGAGAATAATAAGTCCCAAATCCACAGTATTGACTACCTTTGCAGTAGGTGAAAGATAGGAGGTAAAGTCAGAATGAGGCATCCAAGAGAGTGTCAAAGATGATGGCAACTTCATTACTAAGCTGACTTGGGCGATGGGGACTCCGGTGTTCTTTTTGTTAAGCCATACATATACATTAAATACTCTTTTGTATTTATATGTCAGAAGACAGCTTTTTAAAAACACGGACAGTCTAGAGATCCCCTCACCTACCCTGTAGGTTTACTTTCTAGAGGGTGAACTTGGAACACAACTGCTGTGGGCATGCAGGCATGGCCAAGGCAGGGAGTTAAGTGAAAGTCTACATACTGAGTAGTGAGCCACCGACCCTCTTCCCTTTCTCAGCTCCACGTTGATTATAACCTTCTTCAGCTGTCATCCTATTCAGGTCAGCAAATCAATAACACATCACATGCCAACCCCTATGTGTTAGTGCATCACCGCATCACACAGGTCCCGCCTTTCTTTAGCTGAGCGGGGGCTGTTTCCTGTACTCACCACATGGCCTTCTCAGCAGCCAGCATGTCATTCCTACTCTGCACGGAGAGCTGACAGCGGTGACATCTGCCGCCACCACATGCTGAACTTTTGGTTGCGCTATTGTAGGGTTTTTCTGTGTGTGTGTGTGTAATGGAATATCAGCTTTAGAAAACACAGCCTGACATACAAATGCAGTACTATTTTGTCTTGGAATTTGATCATGTGGTAAAATAGCCAGAAAAAAATTAAAACTTACCTCCGCCACTTCCTTTTGGAAAGTCAACGTCATCTGGGTTCTGCCGTAAGCAAAAGGCCCCTCTCTCTGAGAAACATTTTCAAGCCACTTGATTATGAGTGGAGTTGACACATTAAAAGGCAGATTTCCAATAATATGTACATTTGGAGGATCTGGTTGGCAGGAGAAAAACCAACTTGAAATGATTTCATCAATATAGTTTGAATATAATTTTAATTAAGCGTAAAAGTCAAACTAAATACTAATAGCATCAAATAAAAATATATGAAAAATTATGGTTGAGTATATTCCATACCATTTATTCTTCAAAAGCAATGTTTTTTTGTTTTTTGCCCCCACAATCAGCTTTGAATTATTAAGGAAAAAAATTCTACCTAATTCGCATTCAGTCAGTCAGTGAAAGTCCTCAGATTTTTGGCTTCAGAAAAAGATACAATAAGAACTGCTGTGAGGAAAAAGAATTTGCTTTGGACATGAAGAGGTCAAGGTGCCTGTGGGCCCGAGGAACCTGCAGAGGGTCGGGTGCCCGAGAAGCGGACACAGCCTGCAAGTGCCTGCGACAAGCAGGTGTCCGCCAGGGAGGGGTCATCCGGACGGATCTGTAGCAGGAGACGCCCGAGGAGAAAGAGCTCAGAAACAGGTGAGAGGAGGGAGAAAAAATAACCACCAGCAAAGGAGGCAGAGACAGCTCACAGCGATGCAAAGGGGAATCAGAGGGCATGGCCTCAGGGAAGGCAGGAGCAGCCACCTTCCAGAAGAGTCAGTAACAGTCAGAGGAACCAGGAGAACTGTCACAGGCGGGGGACACTGGGGAGGTCACTGTGGTGGGGCAGGCGCTGAGAAGAGCAGGGGGCGTCGGAAGGCGGAGAGGGCCAGCACCAACCACTGCAGGAGCCTGGCCGTGGAGGCCAGACACATGGTGGCCGCTAGATGGGGGGGGGGGGGGGGGGGGCAACAAAATCGACCCTTCCTGTGTTCTACGGGGTTTTAAAGGCAAAAACCAGAAGCGCTGGAGCACAGAGGTTCTCAATAAACAGTGCCGTCAACGAGGAGTGCCTTGGTTGGTCACTGAGTGTGAACACAATCGAAACGAAGGTAAAAGAAAGGCTGGGTGTGGCTTGGTTCACTAAAACCCTTCCTTTTTTACCATTTGGAAAAAGTAACACCTTATGGTTCATCTCATGTGCTATCATAAATATGACACGTTCATTTAAATAGAACCCAAAACATTTGAAAAATGGGGCAAATAAATAAGAATTAAGAAAGTAATAGATTTTATATTTTGGAAGAAAGTAGAAAAGCAGAATAAATTACAATACATATTACCTATTAATTCTGTTTGGATAATTTTTAATATAAATATATAAGAACATTTGTAATATATAATAATGTAAGTATTTCTACCATAAATAACAACAAGAACAACAATCCAAAGTCACTTACCATCCTCCCACTGTCGTTTAAGACTTTCTGGAAAAGCCCTTTCGACCTTAAATGTCAACACATCTCCATGGACAATCCTCAGTTTCCCCGGTGCTGCATCAGAAAGCATCTAGTTCAGAAAGGTCAATAAAAGGAGCTCATACACTTTGTCAAATACTGGAACTATTTTTTTACTTCAAATCTATGCATTATTAAATCGATCTGAAAGCCAAAGACTAAGCGTGACTGTTAATGAACTCAAGTTCCTAGTATCAACCGCAATAAACTACAGTGGCATTTCACTTTTAACATATGAATGACGGGACAGCAACAGATTAGAGTATAAAAACAGCTTACCATTTAACATATAGTAACGAAATTTTGACCCTCAGAATGACTTGTATTTCTGTATAGATTTAGCAAAAACTCAACTCCTATCTGTAAGTTTTTAAGTTAGAAAGCATTTGTAATATATTTTTAAAAAATCTTCATTGTTGCAAGTATTACATATGTCCCTTTTACTCCCCCACTGACCACCTCTAGCCCAGCCCCACCTCTCACCCCAGGCCTTCACCACCCTATTGCCTGTGTCCATGGGTTATGCATAATGCATACAAGTTCTTTGGTTGATCTCTTTCCATTCACCCACCCTCCCCTGCCTTCTCTCTGAAATTTGACAGTCTGTTCCATGCTTCTATGTCTCTTGATCTATTTTGTTCACTAGATTCTACATATGAGTGAGATCATGTGATACTTGTCTTTCTCTGACTAGCTTATTTCACTTAGCATAAAATTCCCCAGGTCCCTCCAGGCTGTTGCAAATGGCAAGAGTTCTTTCTTTTTTATAGCTGCATAGTATTCCACTGTGTAGATCAGTGATGGCGAACCTTTTGAGCTCGGCGTGACAGCATTTTGAAAAACCCTAACTTAACTCTGGTGCCATGTCACATATAGAAATTTTTTGATATTTGCAACCATAGTAAAACAAAGGTTTATATTTTTGATATTTATTTTATATATTTAAATGCCATTTAACAAAAAATCAACCAAAAAAATGAGTTCGCCTGTCACCTCTGACACACGTGTCATAGGTTCGCCATCACTGGTGTAGATGTACCACAGCTTTTGTATCCACTCATTTGCTCATGGACACTTGAGCTGTTTCCAAATCTTAGCTGTTGTAAATTGTGCTGCTATGAACATAGGGGTGTATATATCCTTTCTGATTGGTGTTTCTGATTTCTTATGATATATTCCTAAAAGTGTGATCACTGGGTCAAATGGGAGTTCCATTTTTAATTTTTTGAGGAAACTCTATACTGTTTTCCACAGTGGCTGCACCAGTCTGCATTCCCACTAGCAGCTTATAACACATCCTTGCCAGCACTTGTTGATTTGTTGTTGGTAGCCATTCTGACAGGTATGAGGTGGTACTTCATTGTCATTTTGATTTGCATCTCTTGGCTGATTAGTGACTTAGAGCATGTTTTCATATGTTTCTTGGCTTTCTGTATGTCCATTTTGGAGAAATGTCTATTTAGGTCCTTTGCCCAGTTTTTTATTGAATTTTTGTCTTTTTTTGTTAAGTTGTATGAGTTCCCTGTAAATTTTGGAGGGTAACCCCTTATTGGATGTATCATTGGCAAATATGTTCTCCCATGCAGTGGGCTCTCTTGTTATTCTGTTGATGGTTTCTTTTGCTGTGCAGAAGCTTTTTATTTTAATACAGTCCTATTTGTTTATTTCCCCCTTAGTTTCCTTTGTCCTAGAAAATACATTGGTAAATTATTGCTATGAGAGACGTCTGAGATTTTGCTGCCTTACAGCTAAGCCATCTGTAAGTTCGTATCACGTTAAGTGCCTCTGTATCCAACACAAAACTTGATTCTTAAAGTTCTTGGTAAATAAAACCAGATGCAGCCCCTGATCTTACAAAGTTTAAAATGCAGGAATGAACATAGTCAATGAGAACAAACATCGCTGAAGTGGATTACGAAGGAAGAGGTGACCCTCTTCCACATTAAGTCTCAGCTCAGGGAGCTCAGAGAACCTCAGCCCCAATTCAGGGAACTCTGGCCTTGAGCACCCCTTTGTCTTGCTTCTCTAGCTCAAGCCAAGCTAATTTTCTCCTAACTCTCTCCTTGCCTAACCCAGGCAACCGACAGGAAGGATGAAAGAAGAATCACCAAAGCCAGTGAGAAGGCGTGGACCACCTCTGGGCCAACACTGTGCCTTGCACATGCTTCTCTGTACCACAATTGTGTGTCTGCAGGTTCTTCCCCTGTAACAATGCATGCTCCGGAAGGGCAGCACCTGTTTCTTTCTTTCCTTTTTTTTTTTTTTTAAATATATTTTTATTGATTTCAGAGAGGAAGGGAGAGAGCAAGACAGAAACATCAATGATGACAGAGAATCACTGATCGGCTGCCTCCTGCACGCCCCCGAATAGAGATCATGTGCCCTTGACTGGAATGGAGCCCGGGAACCTCCAGTGCAAAGGCGGATGCTCTATCCACTGAGCCAAACCAGCTAGGGCGCACCTGTTTCTTATCTCCCGCAAGGTCCCCGGCAGCTACAACAGCACAGTGAGTACTTCTGAGGCACTTGATAAGTGGGTGACCAGATGGCATTCCGTTTTTTGTGACACTGGAAACTTCCTTGCCTAGCCTGCGAGATTTGGGGTTCCATAAAATTGTAAGGTCAATTCGCTGGCAAAGACTTATTTCACTGATAACAGACAGAATTACACAAGTAATGTTTCAGAAATACAGAGTTGAGTTGCCTATATTGGTAAGAAGCTAAACATTTAAAGTTTGGGAATCAACTAGTTTAATATATTTAGCCATGCACTTCAGCAAAAATGATGTGCACCTCTGATATTAAAATATATATGGATTATTTTAAATCACCACAATTTGTTAAAATTTAATTTGATGATTACCAGACACTAAATCTTAGAAAACGTAATAACCTCAATATACTATAAATAAAAAAGGAGATAGCTCTCTATGGAACAGGCTCTTACTGACAATAACTGTGTATTTAATGATAGCATTTACTGTCAGTGAAGAACATTAGAATTTTTCTATAATTGTGCTTCACATAATTAAAACAAAACAAATTAGCATACCAAAAACAAAGAGGCAGAACTAAAAGCCTACGTTTCACAACGTCAATATATAGAAAGTAGTTAAGTAATTAGTAATTAAGACTCAGACAAAACAAAACAATGCAAACTAGGCTCCTTGGCATTAATTTACATGCTCTGATAACTCAACCATGTTTCAAATGTTCATTTTTCCACACTGACACACTCAGCTGCATACCAGAAGCTGACGTAACACATTTACCTTCCTTTCCTAGGTTCAATGTTGCATTCTATCAGGTATGTTTTGATTTCCCTTCAGGCTGAAGTCTCCTTCAATGACAAACCAAACCCTTCCATTCTTCACAAGGTCTACCTCCCCCATGACTACTTGGTAGCTCGATCTTCCTCTTTCTCTCTCCCTATTGCAGAAGGGATGAATGCTGGCGTTCACAGCTTTATGTGAAGGGTCTATGGGGGAGAAAGCTCACAAACTGAAAGGTATGACTCTAGACCAGTGGTCGGCAAACTGCGGCTCGCGAGCCACATGCGGCTCTTTGGTCCCTTGAGTGTGGCCACGAAGTTTCAATTGCACTGTACATGCGCACCCGCACGTGGTATTTTGTGGAAGAGCCACACCCAAGGGGCCGCAGTTTGCCAACCACTGATCTAGACAATAGCCTGGCACACACCTGATGACAGTCAACATTGACAGACTTTCTAACTAACCACTTAGAGAGAAGACTGTTTCATTATCATAATATTTGGAAATGATGGAGGAGTGGGAAAGATCAGTCATAGCCCCTCAATGGTGCCTTACATTTCAGAACTCCAGAGGTATTACCTCTGCATACGCTCCAGGCACAGCGGACTATGAGAGCAGGCACTTGCTTACAGCCAAGTGCGTACCTTTACAGACATCCTCAAATTGTTCCATCTAGTTTTCAATCCTAAATTCTTCCAATGAGAAGTAAGCTTGGAGCAAGCATGTCATACTCAAAGCTAACACGGGCCAAATAAGCGAGGTTTAAGTTTATGTGGGCCGCAAAAAAAACCCCAAAAGCTTCAATTTTCATAGAAACGTGTAGGTTTATTTCAATAGAGACAATGCTGAATATAAAGGGCTGAAATAAATGAGGAATCGTTAACATAAAATAACAGAACATTTTAATAAAAATCAGTATTTTTTTCTTGAACATTAACTTACCAGACACTGAACAACTGCACAAATTAATAAGCATAACACAAGTAAACCTATTTTTCTTGTTCTCAGAAAGTGAAACATTTCCTGTTGGGCACACCAAACAAGTCAGTCCAAGACTAATAACATGGCATTCGGCTGCTAAAATATTTGCTGCTAGTATTAGTGGAGAGTAATGGTGCGCCTGCGCATAAGGCATGTAAGGGAAATGAATGCAGCACAATTATAATAATCAGTCATTAGGGAACGTTGTAGTTCGTTATTAATAATGCTATATAATAAAAGTGTACTATGCAAATTGAACTGTGGAATGACCACTAGGCGGGGGCTGGGGGGTGGGGGGGGTCGGGCTGGCAATCAGGCAGCGCTAGGCCAGCCAAGTAGTGTGCCCGGGGGGGCAGAGGGAGGGAATGGCGATGGGGGTTGGAGGGGCAGCAACCAGCGGCACAGGAAGGGCGATGGGAGGGGCCAGCACCGGCCCCTGATCGCCCGACCAGTTGCCTCCTGCAGAGGGAGGCCAGATCAGATAGCGGCTTAGGCCATCAGTAGGACATCCCCAACTCTCGGACTGTGAGAGGGTGCAGGCCGGGCTGAGGGACCCTCCCCTCCCACCCCCCTCCCCACCAATGCACCGACCTCTAGTTATGTAAAACAGGATATTGTAAAAATTAAGTTACAACTTTTATTAAAACATTTCTTACATACCGTTATATTGGCTGGGCCGCAAAAATATTTGTTGTGGGCTGCACAACAGGGTGCAAATTTGACATGCTTGGCTTAGAGTGAAAGGACTCTTTAAATCCTAGAGATGTTAGCTCTCATGACCAACTTACTGAATTACAGA